AATCTGCTACACTGCACTACACACCAATCTCTTTACGAAGTCCTAAAATCTACTAAAAAAAGCGTCAAAAATTTGGGCCTCTTCAATTAAGTGATAGATGGTCCCAAAAATTCAGAAAAAATTCAAGCAGATTCTTTGAAAAATTTTAAAACTTTTGATCGTCCCATTTTTTTGTTTAAGTACTTCTATTTCAATATAGAAAATAACAAAGATTTTTTTATAATGTGGAAAATCTTCTGCAAAATGGGCCCTAAGGCCCAATGGATCAAACTAAGCACAGGGAGCTTCAGTATTGGGTACCAGGAGACCGCAAAAAAATTTTGGAGCAAATCCATGACCCGCACCTGAAAAGCTCTCCTTGTCAGTGGTCGCCAATTAAGAAAATCACATCGGCATTAACGACTCTGATGCTATTACACGACTAATTGTACACTTCGATGAGTTTTGCAATGATACAGAGCCATCGGGATCAGGGTTTTTGATTCGACTAACCGGCTGATTCTCGTGAGTGCCGATCACTGAATACATATTTATTTATACAGTGGAGGCCGTTTATAACGAGGTCGGGTATAGCGAGATACCGGCTATTACGAGAAGATTTCGGACATTTGGTTAATTCCAATGCATGAAGTATAGGAAATTTGATCGATATAACGAGTTCGATATAACGAGAAGTCGGGTATAACGAGCAAAAATTCGGAAAAATTTTGGAAAAATTGACGTTTATAACGAGAAATTGCGTGTTTACACTCGTAGCTAGATACTCGTACGCAAACTCAATAACACAGAATTATGTACAAAAAGCTTACTTTAAGCAAGTTAAATGATCAGTTTTACAGTTGCTTTCGTAGGGAAAACGTATATCTTCTACTTTTATCTTCGTAAAATTTGAAAATGGGAGATTTTGATCCAAAAAAAGGAAGACATTATCAGTGAGCGATAAGTATTCTATCATTCAAAATGGTAAATCTCATACCGAAGTTTGCAGTACTTATGATCGACCGTCCTCAACGGTTTCGATGATTTGGAAAAATCGTGAGAGTATAATAAAATCAAGTATTTCTAATTTTCATTTAAAAACAAAAATTAGTAAAGCAAGTACAAATTAAAATTTTGAGTTTCATGAACAAAATTTTTCTGTAATTTTTATAACTAATACAATTAATTTATGTTATTATCTATTATTATTATATTATTATTATTCATACCAATGTAAATAAATAATCAATACATATAATAATCTCATCTGATAAAAAAATGAAACTGGTAAATAACAAAAAAATTATTGTGATTAATGCTCATGTCGGCTATAACGAGGACCGGATAAAACGAGAACTTTTCGATGGTCCCGTAAATCTCGTTATAACCGGCCTCCACTGTACATGCAAAATGTATTTTGTTCGAGAAATATTCGAACAGGATGAGCGCGCGGTTTGTACACACATATGTTCACGTGCTGTGCAAGCATAGGCGTGATTCTCTCTGCGCGGCGAGAGATGGCGTTGCTCCTCGGCATGTGCCGACGGTATCTCTGCTATTGGTGCATGGTTCGAGATTTCGGCCTTCTCGTTTCTGCACTTGGCTAATCAGCACCTCGCTCGTGTCTCGTGCATCTACCTAGTTCAACTGCGAGAAATTTCCCGACGTCAGCTCTACAAGGCTACATTGAACATCACCTTCACAACAATCTCATCACCTCGTCTTACTCCAGATCGTCTCAATCAGCGCAAGCTAGCCAACGAGGACGTGTTGGCAAGCAGCTTCATTGACTTACTCATCGCAGCTCATTTCATCGGTCATCGCATCGGAGTCAGCTCATCGATTGCGACCAGGTAAAGAAACCATCCAGACTGCAATTGAAGACCAATAATGTCTACTGCAGGCCTGGTGGAATCTTTTTGTCATCACCTCAACTCTCGGGACTATTTTGGCGCATCTCAATCGCACGAGCACACGACGAGTAAAAGTGAGGTTACACGTAGCCATGTGCAATCTCACGTGATCTTGACCAACTCATCCAGCTGCTCACACATGTACACTAGAGGATTAATTTAACCTCTTCCGTTGTGCTCCGGTCTGCTCACAAATCAAGTTCAACTCGCTGTGAACTCAAGAGAAGCGTTGCACATCTCGATTGCTACAAATCACGACAAATCAAAGTGGATTAATAAAATCAAACCTCGTGTTGACAACTCAAACTTTGTATAAACTCTTTGACAATTAAGTGTGAATTAATACAATCTCGCTTCGCGTCGACTGCTCCATTTATCTGTACATTTACTGACAACTCAATTGTAAAATCAAGCATAATATCAGTGAACTCAATTACTTTATAATTGTTATCAATATTTTGAATTAATTGACTCAGTTTTTATTAAATTAACAGTGATTTTGAGTGAAAATAAAGAAAATTGTGAAAATAGAAACTCATATGACTCATGCAGTGTTTTCTTTTAAGACCCTATCATGCACCCATCCAAATTATTATTTATTGTTTAAACAATTCTCAAACAGTATTTGTATACATTTTTATACTCTAATGCATCGTATAATTCACTAGAAAATTCTGAAATCAGTGAGGAAATGAATGACTTGGCGAGTGATGAAAATTTCACCGGCAGTGAAACATGTTCAACTTCGGAAGATGATGATTATACAAGTGGTAACACGGATTCTGAAGATAACAAAACAGATAGTTATGATGAACTTCTGTATGATGGAGCCCCAATAACAGTGGCAGAAAGCATGCTAGTAATTTCGTCATTTTCTCATAGATTTAATATCACCGGGACACTGATGTCCAGCATTTTATCTCTTTTAAAGTTGCATTACATCAAACTAAATAAGTGTATTCCATCTATTTACAACCTGAAAAAAATTTTCGCCAACATAAATACTTCTATCACGAGACACGCATACTGTTCTGATTGTTCATCATTAATCCAAGATGATGTTTGTCAACAATGGCACAGATAGTAATTATTTTATAAAAATACCGATAATATCTCAGCTCAAGTCAATGTTTAAACGTCCTAAATTTTTAGAACTTTTGCAATATAGATTTCATCGAGTTAAGGAAAACGAAGATAATTAAGAAGATCTGTACGATGGATCTGTTTATAAATCGTTGCCAGAAAATTTGACCAAAAACCCGAATAATATAACATTTACGTTGAACTCTGATGAATTTCCTTTATTTAAATGATCGAAATTTAGTATTTGGCCGTTGTATCTCATCATCAATGAGTTGATAGAGATAGAAACATAAATTCGGCAAAATCACCAAACTTGATAAAAGTTTCGCGAAACCTAAATTTTTTTACGCGGGGATACAGAACAGATAACGTATAATAAAATTCAAATTTGTACATTTATATATTTATTAATAATAATTGTAAATGTGATGAATATCGCGCTATAACTATATCGTGGTCATAGATACTATTGTTTTCAATATAAAATATTGATTTCAGAATCATACATTTCATTGTCATTAAACTTCACATATATACTGACGAATAACAACAAAATATGCCAATCGTCCGAAGCAAATCAAGTCGAACTCGTATGGTCGAAGCTTGCAAAAGAAGAGATCAATTACGAAGTCTTTCCAGAAATCGAGAGGCAACAGCGCTTATGAATAATTTACAATTAAATAGACAATAAGCAGGTCGTAAATTTGACGCATCAGCGGCATCGTTACAATGTAATTCATGTATTAACTGCCTAAGGTCGTTTCGTTATCTCAAAACTTCTAATCACTTATGTAAATTTTGTCTGAAACCTACTGATAGAATTAATTATACAATTGAAAATAATATGGATCCCAGAGATGTGCCGGCAGAATTACGCAATTTATCGTATATGGAGCAAGTTCTTATTGCTCGTGTTCACCCTATTATTTCATTGTATCGCATAGTAAAAATATCAAAAAGAATTACCAGTGCCTTTACGAAATCTACCATCAACCATGATCTTTAATCAGTGTACTGTGTCAGGAATAGCACAATTCAGAGTAAGATCAAAAAAATTCTACACGCTCTTTGTTGGTTGAAAGAAAATAATGTGTACTATGCAGATATTCAAATCAGCTACAATAATTTGAGTTTTTTACTGGAAGATAGTGATATTATTGACATGATATTGAACACTAATAATACTTCAAATGATGAAGAAATTGACGACACCAATTTTGATAATGATATTGAAAGCAGTGGTGTATTTTCATTTCCCAATATTGATTAAAAAAATCATATTAACATTGAGTTGAATTTGAACTTTCCAACGACAGATACACAACCGATTAATGAATTTACTAAAGAAGGGTTATATGGCATGCGCATTTTCGGCATTATTTCCAACAGGACGAGGGGATTTTTTACAAAATAGATTGGTCACCATTACCAGTTTAAACTACTTCAGGTATCTAATGATGTACAGAGACGGTCGATTTGCACGTGATCCAAGATTTCGACATTTTGCTTTAAATAGAATTTTATGTCACGAAGCCATTATATAATCGATAATTTATATAAAGGATATTGATATTGCCGACCCGAACCCGCAAGATTTTTTTTATTTTCTCTCTTTCTTTTTCCCTACTTCTTGCTCTTTCCCTCCCTCGTTTCTCTCTCCCTCTCTCTCTCTCTCTCTCTCTCTCTATATTTCTCTATCTCGTCTCTCTCTCTCTCTCTATCTCGTATATTTTTTCAGACTATACTTGCACGCTACCCTCTGCAAGGCCGTGCCGCATTATCTCTGCTGCACTGCTCTTGCATCTGCTTTTCTTCTCATAAACAAGTCGGGCTTTCTCCAAACTGAGGTTAGTTTCTCTGCTCTGCTGATCGACGCCGCTTGCGCAGGATCATAACCGCCAATTTGTCGATCTGCGCAACTCTCGCTCCGACTCTCTGCTGCGTCCCACTGTTCATGACTTCAGGGTGAAAGAAGAGCTGAGCGTTTGAGCCGTGCAACGAGTTGATCTTCGGAGTTGTCGACGCGCTGCCTTCGTCGATGTTTGCTGACCCTGTTTCCGCCTTCTCGTGCACCGTCTGCTCCGAAGTGTGATCTTTACTGGTGCTCTTCAGTGATTGTGTCTGCCACCGGTGTAAATTTCTCTTGATTCTGCTCTCTTCTCATCTAATCAATCAACTCATCAATCTCATTCCATCTTATCTTCGTCTCTCATCACTCATGCCAATCTATTCCACTATGATTTCTTGTGCCATTGCCATCTGTTATTCGGTAAAGTGTGCCCTCAGGTGATGCCAAAGTGTATTCGCTGCAGTCACGATATCACCGGCGACTACTTACGCTGCAACGCCTGCCAGTCTGTCTCCCATACCGTCTGCCCAGGTCGTGTCCTTCGAAGCTCTAGAATCAAGCCCTGCTGTACTCGTGCTTTCACCACTGACGACTCCACTCCTGTCCGAGTTGGCTTACCGACCAGGACCTCAAGTGTTAGCTCTCGTGCTGCTCGATTCGACAGCACTCGTGGAGTACCTCCGGACCGTAGCTCGTCTCTCCCCGATCTGTCCAATTTTTTCGACGCATCTATGCCGCCTAAGGTAGCCTCTGGGTCGACTGCCCCCCCATGGTTTTCGGAGTTCCGACTCTACCTTGGTGATGAGCTAAATGGCCTGAAGTCGCAGCTCAGCAGCATCAGCGAGCGCTTGGACAGGCAAGAGGCCGCTATCACCCAAAATTCCGCCGACATAGCCGCGATTCGCGACGAAGTCGGCTCTCTGAGAAAGGATCCCCGCCTGGTAGACTCCTGCGAGATGCTTGTGACCGGCTTACCCGCCGACCTGAATCTCTCGAACGATCAGATTCTGGTCAAGATTTTTGAAGCCCTAGATCTTGATGGCTACTCACGCTTCGTTGCTCGCACGAGAGACTGGCAGCCCAAGCCCAAGAATTGCACCCGTGATGACAACGCGGATGCCCCTCGCACTAAGGCCTTTGTCTTCAAATGCTCATCGCCTACTATACGCGATGATGTCATCTTCCACTCTGGCAGGCTCTCAGGCAAGGACCACCAATCGCTGTTCGGCATGGGTGGCTCAGGCAGGGTCATGCTTCGACCACTGTGGCCTACCCCCGTTCACCGCCTTCTGTCTCAGGCCCGCGAGGCAGCGGTCAAGCTCAATTACGCGCGACCGTTGGTGCGTGACTTGGTCGTCTGCATGAGGGAGACGAGTGGCTCAACTCTTGTACCTGTCTACAGTGCTGATGACTTGAAGGCCCTCAAGTCAAGGCCACAATGACGGTCACTCAAACCCTCTACTCGCCTGCCCACCACCCACCCTCTGGTACGTGACAATTTTCTTTCTGTCGCCCACGCAAATGTCAATCGCCTCGAATATCACTTCGCGCTGGTCGAGGATCGCATCACTAGCTTCAACTACGATATCTTCGCAATTTCAGAGACTTTCCTCGTGCCTGATGCCCCCGACTCAGTGTTTCAACTTGACGGCTACAACTTTTTCCACAACGACAGATCTGAGAGGGGTGGTGGCGGTGTAGCGGCCTATGTCCGCGACTGCTTTCGAGTCAAAACTCTGGCCGCCTCAAGTCCAAAGTACGACAATACTCCGGAGTTTTTGATTCTCGACCTATCTTACAAATCGACGAATCTTTTGCTCGCTGCAGTCTATATGAGACCCCACTGTACTCAAGTCAACTCTTTCTTTGATACCTTGGCAGTATTCCTACCAAAGTATACCAATGTAATTNACGATAAGATGGTTTGCGTCCTATTTGCGGGGTCGCTCTCAGGCAGTCGTGGGCCCTGATGGTGTGCAGTCGGATTGGCTGCCCACTACCAGTGGGGTCCCTCAAGGCAGTGTTTTGGGACCACTTCTCTTCTCCCTTTTCATCAACGACCTGCCAGGCGTGCTAGTGCGATCCAAGCATATGCTTTTCGCCGATGATCTTCAGGTGTACTATTCATTTTACCCCAGGGATTTTGATGTTGAGATCGGAAGGCTCAGCGAGGACTTGAATGCTGTGGCGGATTGGGCAGGAGACAATCACCTATCTTTGAACGCGGCTAAAACTAAAGTGATGATTTTGGGCAGCAAATACTTCACAGACCTACTCGACGTAACCACAGTCACAAAAGTTCAAATTCACGGCACTGAACTCCCATACTCGTCCGAGGTCAAGTCTCTCGGTGTTTGGTTGCACCCGAATCTCGACTGGGGGAACCACGTAAACAAAGTAGCCCGACGTATCCAAGGCGCCCTCTTTTCACTTCGTCAATGCCGCCGTGCCCTATCACCTCCCATTCGTAAGGATCTGGTGGAATCACTAGTGTTCCCGCACCTTGACTACGCGTGTGTAGTCTATAATGACTTATTTGACTACCAAAATCTACAACTGCAACGGGCACTCAACGCATGTGTGCGTTTTGTCGTGGGTACCATTGGTTGGCGCGACCATGTCACGCCACACAGGCTACAACTTGGCTGGCTGTCGGTATCAGACCGCAGACAGTATTTCACTGCAATCACTGCCTACTCCATCATTGCCCACCAGAATCCACCCTACTTATCTTCTCGTTTCGCTCTTCCATCACAGGCCCTCATCGATCGTTCATCATCGCGACTACCACAAAGATCTATTGTTGGTCATTCAGTACGCACTGGCGCTCACCAGTCGTCCTTCGTCTACACAGCCACGGACCTACTAAATAAGTTCTTCACGACCCGCTTATTATTCTGCCCATCACGCATCTCTCACATCAAAAACATCATTTTCACTAAATTGATTGGGGATGAGAGGAGAGTAGCTAGTCACTAGGACTTTGCGCCCTGGCATAAATCATGTCTTGATTGCTTAAATCTTACTGCTACCAAACAACGTTCTGTTCACTATTTTTGTTCTACTTACTTACTGCTTACTTTTACTGCTTACTGCTTACTGCTTACTTTTGTAATTACTTTACCTTACTCTTGTCTACATTTATGTAACGCTTATACCTTTAGTTACCCTGAGGTATAAGCCTGTGTGCCATACGGGAAACCATGGCCCAATAAATATTCTAATCTAATCTAATCTCTCTCTCTCTCTCTCTTTCCTTACCCTCTCTCTCACGGTAAGCGGCTACACACACGTTTTTGCAGTGCTCCATATTTTATGCATTTTACTGCTGTCTTTTGCCTTCGGGCGTTTTTTCTTCCAGATAACTCTTGCTCGCTCCTCATTGCAAGGCTGTGGCCGAAAGCTCGAAGCTTCTTCACCCTTGCAAATCGAAAAATCAAGGAAAATCTGGAAGAAATTATTCAATTGAGGTTAGTCAATTTTCGCCATCTTCGTTGATTTTGTCATCGTCATCGTCGTTTCGGCGCCGATCCAGCCTGCGCAGAGCTCACGGCCCGTCGCAGTAGGGGAAATCTCTCTCGGCATCTATCTCTCTTACGTAGCAGACCGCTCAATTCGATCAAGTTTCCGCGCAAGGGCCACTGTCACCTCACACCTGTCGGATGTGATGTCAACTGTTCCCATTGTGCGAGTGTATGTACAGTGCGTGAGTGTGCTGGAGGGAGACGCCGCTGGTGTCGTCAAGGGCTCGGCCTGTGGCGCGTCGGCGCATAAACTCTGTGCTTCTTCTCGTAATCGCTTTTTCACTTGCGACTATTGCTCTTCTGCTGCGGCCTCTACATCTCGTGTGCCCCGCTTTAGCTCTGTCTGCTCACTGACCACTACGCGCTCTGCATCTCTGAAGCGGTCATTGTCGTCTCCAGAGAAACTTTTCGCTGGGCCAGTGAAAAAGGTAAAGGCACGTGCTCCAGGAGAGATTAGCAAGACGAAGGCAATGTCAAGCAGTAAATCCAAGTCCAAGGCAAACGCTGCACCGCCTGAGGAGCCTCCTGCCTGGGTCTTGCAGCACGAGCAGCGTCTTACTGCTCGCTTCGACAGCAGCGTTGACCGCATCAATACTCGCCTGGACGTTTTTACCCAAACCCTGACAGAGCATGGACTAGCTATTGCCCGCAATGACAGCAATATTGTAGAGCTAGACGGTCGCCTCTCCAACGAAATGAAAGAGCTTCAGCGTCGTCACACCTGCAGCGAGCAGGCTCTGGTCGACATCCGCGAGGAGGTTGCGCGACTTGCCTCTGCTGTGGGCACCATGACAGCTGCCTCTGGGCCGGCGCTGGTGTCACCCCGATGCTTCGACAACTATGAGGTCCGCCTGTCCGGTTTTCCGCCTCAGCTTAACCCTTACGACAGGTCAACTGTTGAGCGTGTGCTCGTCGCTCTGGAGGAGGTGGAACTTTTACCGCACGTGATCCACATCCAGCAGTGGAACCCGAAGAGACGAGCGCCGGCCGCTGAGCCTGGCTCTGTTGATGCTCCAACTTCCTCGGCTGATGCGGTGGCCTGTGTGTTACGTTTTGTCTCGGCAACTGCGCCGAGACGTTCCTCGCTGCCGCCCCAAGATTTCAGCGTCTACCTGCGTCGCAGATCTTCGGACTACCTGACGTGAGGGATGGTCGCTTGAGCGCTGTGCCAATCTTGCCAATTGAGCGTTACAGGCTCCTGAAGAAATGCTGGACCATCCGTAAGCAGCACCGTCTACCGAATCAGCCGTCAACCGCATCGGCCTCTTCGCCTGCGGATTATTGGAGGACTTTGCGTGGCATAGGAGTCGCTTCGCACTGCACACCTACCCCTCTGAAGTTCTGTGCTCCCGATCAACTATGCCAATACTCCGCATCGGTCTCTTCGGCATCACCGGCGTTTGATGTGGGTGCTTTGGCGGTCGCTTTGTCCTCACCTTCGGACCAGCCTGGCCATGAGAGCTTCAGTTTTCGTCATGTGACTTCGCGGGATGTAGAGACGGCCATGTTGAGGTGTAAATCGTCTAGCTGGGGCTTTGACGGTGTTTCAGCTCGTGTGTTGCGACTGGCCTCGCCTACACTCTATGGCCTTCTATTATCTAGTATATTGTTGACATTTTTCGATTTCAAGCGTTTAGCATAAGCGCGTTACCCGTCATCGATTCTTGTTTACGTTTATGAGCGCGTTTTGCTAGCTACGACTGACTCGACTTAGTATTTACTATTACGTTAAGTAAATCGCGTTATATCTTTATAAGTATCTGCCGTCGTTTGAACATTATATTATAGTATTGTATCTGTATGCCAGCTGAATGCGCCAAAAGCCATAAAACAGTCCGTAGAGTGACTACTTGTGGCAAGTGTAAAAATACCTTTCATCCCGGTTGCGCTCGCTCGTACGCCACAGCATCGTCTGCTCATGATTGTTGTAAGATCGCATTTAGAGCAAATAGATTAAGAATGAATCAGGCTACATCGACTACCTCATCTTTCACCTTTTCGGTGCCTTGCTTTACTGTGCCTACGACCACCTTTGCCTCTCGTGCGAGTGTTACGTCGATCGGTTCCGGCGTGACGGGTTTCGGCTCATCTTTTTCAAGTGGAGCTTCCACTGGCGTTCCGATACTTGACCAGGCCTCATCTGTGCTTCTCGAGTCGGTGAATTTTCACACCTTGTCAGCAGATGCAAAGCTAGATAAGCTATTTGAGGCGATCTCATTTGTGGTCACGCAAAATGCAAATATCAACGGAGCTTTACAGAACATTTCGACGATGATTGGTAAACATGAGACGCGTCTTAGTGACCTTGAAAATGACATGTCGCCCGCATATTTAGAAATTGAAAAGCTGCGTGAGCAGGTCGATCGGCTGTCAACCGTCTCTCGGCAACAGACTACTGAATTTACGGTATCTGGTATCCCATCTACCCTGCCTGAGAAGGATGATGACGCAGTTATCGCCGGTGTCCTCGGGCGCATTGGCGCTGAGCGCTTTCTTGCTGACATCACTCGAGGTGAATAAAGCCGAGGAATAGTGCTTGCGAGTTCCGGACTTTGCTCGTCATCTGCAAGTCTTCGGTTGTGCGTGATGAGATAGTGCGTTTAAAGATTCAAAAGGGAGATATCGCTGTTTCAGATATCATCCCGAATCAAACATCTGCAGCCAAGCGAAAGCTCTTTTTAAATGAATGGCTCCCACGTCCTGTGCACGAACTTTTACAGGAGGTGAGGAGCAAAGCTCGCGCATGTGGCTTTCAGAGAGTCTGGATTCGTGGCGGAGTAATATTCGTACGCAAGGATAGCACCGTACAAAGAATCCAAATAAATTCAAAGTCAAATATAGATAAAATAGCTATATAAAATAGCTATATAAATATAGATAAAATGACTGCAGCCTTCCGCTGGTGCAGTACCATGTCTCGGGATCGCGCGCGATTCACACGGTCTTAGAATCGCGCATGTAAATATAAATTCTATTGCGTCACTATTGTTGGATAGTCAGAAGGGTGCAATATTAATTAAACGCGTATTAGCAGAGTTAATTGTTAAATTATGTTCACTTTATTAATGTATCGCGGCTCGCTATCGCTTACACTTGTTCGCACGCGTTGACTCTAGGTTGGTCAAAGTTAATCTGTGTAGCGGCGACCAGCAAGTCGCCGGCACACATGCGGAGCAGATCCCAGCACGATGGGGGAAGACATACACGGCTGCTGCCGTGAGAAGGCCTAGGCAGGCTGCGCGCACTCACTACTGCACACACACACACACACAGGCGGAACACGTATGTCCGCCGAGCCCGAGCCGAAATGTCGCGTCTACACGCTGGTGAGGCGCGCGCACACACACACACACACACACACAAGCACGAGAGCCTGTGGT